CACAGAGGTACTGCATGAGGGTCGCGAAAGTTTTGGTTGATTAGACTTTTAAATCTAATTTCTTCCACTAATTGAAATGTCTTTAAATAAACATTAACATGAATTCAACAGACTGTAGTAAACAGATAAATGGAGGCAGAAGATGTCTTTCAGTCATCAATGCTCACATTCAGCGACACACAGCTCTTTCAAGCTGGGCACCGTTTCATTCACAACACCTGTCCCATCAACCAGGAATCAGAAATACTTTAATAATCCCAGGGAGAAATTACTTTAGTTACATTACTCCATCTGTAATAGAGCGACTATAGGACCAGTTTGATTTAACACAATTTCATACAATATATATAATTAGGGGGTCCCCGCTCCAACTCGCCATCAGTTTGGGGGTCCTTAGCCTGGAAAACGTTGAACACCCCTGATTTAAAGGGTATAAATACTTTTCCAAGCCACTGTATGGAATTATCTGCAAATAAACGTTTACATTTATTTTTAACGGGCTGCTCAGCAGGGCAGTGGGTAGCAATGCTGCCTTGCATCAATCAAGAAAGTTCCAGGTTAGATTCCTGGCCTGGGGTCTTTCTGCATGGAGTATGCATGGGTTCTCTCCAGGTACTCCAGCTTCCTCCCACAGTCCAAAAACATGAACGTTAGGTTAATTAGCTTCTCTAAATTCTTCTTAGGGGTGAGTGTGTGCCTGAATGGTTATTTTTGCAGAAATAAAATCAGTAAAATAACTTTGAATCTTCAGGTAGAGGCTTAAGTCTTAAAACACCTCTGCTCCTCTTTTGCATAATGAGGTAGAAAATGCAGAGAAAAAACGTCTGAATAATATTAATATTAACAAATATTGAACTTTACTGATCTAACACTGGAGATATTTACCTCAGCATTTAACCCATGCCATTGGGGAGCAGTGAGTGAATGAATTAATGAATAAATAAATAAACATAACAGCATGAATGAATAAATTAATATGGGAATGAAAAAAAATAAATTATTCAATTAATTATGTTTATTATGCATTAATTTTTTTCTGCATTTACTCATAGTTTATGGAGGACCAAAATGGACATAACTAAGAATTACAAGAATTCAGAAAAATTAAACCAGTATTTTTTCTCACTAACCTTTCAGTGCAAAAAAAAAATATATATACATATATATATTTTTTTTCTAGACCAATTATTACAGAAATTGAAGAAAAAAAAAAGAAAAACTACAAAAATATTTAATTATTTTTTTCACACTCATATAGAAATAGTCTTATTTAATAATAATAATAAAAAAAAATCTCACTTACCTTCCAAGGATTCCATAGAATGCGTATAATAGATCAGATCCCAGTTAAAACACACGGAGGCCAATCCAACATGTAGAAAAATTTTATTATTATTTTCACAGTATGTAAAATCATCATCTATTCATACTGAAGCAAATCAGTTCCATAAAATACACCTAAACGTCCCATTATTCCTCCACCAATCAAAAAGCATCTCCTGGGCTGATGTCATCCACCTGAGCTTGAACCCGGACACTCCGTCTGATGCACCAATCATCAAACATTACAGAAAATAATCAATAAAAAGTTAAAAATGGCGATTAAAAAAAGTCAGTATTTCACAACCATTCAAGTTATTCGTTCAACCGTTGTGAAAAAAAATAAGAGATTAGGAGGCGGCGGCTGCGCTAAATCAGTTTACTGGTTATTTATACTGAAAAGATACAAAATGTTGTAGAAAACAAATAAGAAATCCCTTCAGTCGACGGATGGATCGTAAAAACCGAGCTCCTGTAAACGGCTGCGGTGAGGCTGTAAACGGAGAAACCTTTCAGTACAAACACGCTGCAGCTTTAATGGCCGAGGCAGGGATCAGTGTTCAGGTTAGAGGAAAATAAACAATCATCACCTGCATGAGTCTTTATTTTCTACATTTTAACCGCACTTTTATAAATACATAAGTATTTTTCCAGCAGGAAATTTGGCAAAGCTGCTCCGCAGGATTTGAAGTGCTCTTTTAAACAGCGACAATGCGGCTTTATTAAGAACGAATACCAGAACGGTTTGGGCTGCAGACATTCACACAGCAGAATATCAGCTTTTTCTGAAGTTGTTTCATTGTGTTTGGGATCAACATTCTGTTGGAAGGCCTGCATGTTTCAAGCATCTCAGGTAAAAAGAAATGCTTTATACGGTTAGAGAGGACCAAGCTGATCATCAGCTTCAGTGTCCGCAGATAGAGCGGTTTTAGGTGGAGTGAGAGAATCAACATTTTTCAGTTTTCACTCAGCCGTTTGGTCACAGGGTCTCGGATCTCTGCACCAACTGTAAGGCAAAGCAGTGGCAGGGTCATGCTGTGAGATGCTCTGCTGCTAATGCTGCGTAAAATCGGTTTAAATGATAGAGGTTAACATGTAACTGGTTTAAACCTGGACAAAAACTGGTTTCAGAAAGCATAAACTGTCGAAAACCGAACCTAAATGATGCAATGACCTTTTTAATGATGTCAGGGTGTGATGTCACCAAGTATCAGCCGTGTTTGTGTAAAGGTTTAATATTCAAGCTGTCGTGATTAGATAAACTCTACAATTAATCTGAACCTCCACACCAGGCTGAATGAGGCGATGTTAGCAGCTAACTAAAAAAAAAAAAAACTGTTAAAACCCAACAATAAATGTCCAAATGAATACAACATTCATGCCGTAAAGACCACTGACCAGAACCAGTGTGTCAAAAGTTGGAAATGCTCGACTGAGCGGCTGGAAGTTTCATCCATGAGTCAGAGAGCAGAAAAGAAACATTCATTGAAGGCCGGACAACGACCATCAGAAAAAACTCCAACCTTTGTGTTGAGGGTCCAATGACCTGAGGTCCTCCTCCGCCAATAGTGCACAAAAGAAGCCCTAAGAGTTTTTTCCAGGCAGCTTGATGAAGTGTGTTTATGGAGATGTCCAACACGGGTGTTTTTATGTGCAACTCCTTCCCGCTCACATCTGGTTCAGTTTGTGGCAGGGTGGGCTTTAGTGCTACCTGGAGACGCTCGGGATTAGTCTTTTAAACCAGCGGCCCACGGCCACGTCGACTCTGATGACTAACGTGACTCCGATCAGCAGGAACGTGCTGCTCACCAGGAACCCGGAGGCTTCAAACATCAACCTGGGGGAACAAAAGATAAAGAAGTTTTCTTTACACATTTTTCATTTTTACTAGGGGTGTAAATAATAATCGTTTTGTATCGATGCATCGATCCAAAAGCCGACGATCCGATGCATCGACACGTCCGCAAGAGAATCGATTAATGTGTTTTTGTTTCCTCCGGCCTATTTTTATCCATTTGCTCCTGAGCGTAATTCTCCCTCCCGTACTGCAGTGGCGCTAAACCTATTTTGCCCACCTACCTCGCTTCCTGGTTATACTCTTACAGCAGTGTGTTGCAGTGAGCTTGATGCAGACATTTTTGATTTATGTTCAATATTGAAGCGTGGTCTGTGCTACACGCTGTGGGTCTAGATACGGCCGAGGCGGCGAGGAAGTGGGGGCGAGTTTAGTCCGACGACGGAGGGACATGAGGGCCAAAAAGAGCTGAGATCCAGGTGGAAAAAGGGTCCAAGCGTTCTCGCGCACCTCGCTCTTCTAGCGGGTCAAACTTCACAAGTTGTTTTCCTAAATTTCGGTCATAAACACAAAACAAGCCGGCCTCCTGTCTGCGGCACTGTTTGCCGTCAGCTACAATTTGGGAGAGGAGCAACGGAGCGTCTGTGGAGGGGGCGGGGACGTCTGGAGCCGAGGTATTGCATTGGACTCATTGCACGGATTTTGTGCAGGATTTTTTGATGCAAAGCCTTTCAGAATCTATAACACAGGGGTATTATTATTTTTCAGTGAATCAGGTTTTAATAGGAATAGGTGGAGTGCAACTTTTCTACTTCTGTTATTTGCTGTTGTTTCTCAAATAAAATGCATAACTATATTACAGCTTTCATTGATTTATTTCAAATTTGAAACTTTGTCTAGCCTGTAAGGAAAAAAAAAACAATTAATCGAATCGTATTGTGGTGTATTCTTGAGTATCGAAAATAATCAAATCGTTGGGTCAGTAAATAGATACTGAATCGAATCGCCATGATGGATGTGATTTACACCCTTAATGTTTACCATGCTTGGATCTAAAGCATCTCCAATCACACTATCATTTGTAACAAGGTGGAGGACACACAGCATACGTTAAAGGAAAAGTACACCCAAAACATGATTAGCCTTCATTTTCTACTCACCCCCATGCTGAACAACACTCTGGAGTACTTTTTTGATATCTCNGCCTTTCAGAATCTATAATGCAGGGGTATTATTATTTTTCAGTGAATGAGGTTTTAATAGGAATAGGTGGAGTACAACTTTTCTACTTCTGTTATTTGCTGTTGTTTCTCAAATAAAATGCATAACGATATTACAGCTTTCATTGATTTATTTCAAATTTGAAACTTTGTCTAGCCTGTAAGAAAAAAAACAAAAACAATTAATTGAATCGAATCGTATCGCGGTGTATTCTTGAGTAGTGAAAATAATCGAATCGTTGGGTCAGGAAATCGATACTGAATCGAATCGCCATGATGGATGTGATTTACACCCCTAATGTTTATCATGCTTGGATCTAAAGCATCTCCCATCTCACTATCGTTCGTAACAAGGTGGAGGACACACAGCATACCTTAAGTCTAGGTTTAAAGTTTCCTTTTTGATCAAATGAATAAATAGACACAGCTTATTCTGAGTTATCTCAGTATTAGTTAAGCTGCTATAGACTTAGGCTGCTGAAGGACAGAAAGACCATTTTCCCCTCACTCTGCTAGATTCTTGTACCGTTTTCTTCTATTGCAGTTTTTTGGTGTTATTTCAGATTTTAGCTTCATGTTCTCTGTTTATCTCCTTACAGTAAACCTGTCAGGCCTGGGTGTCGGCAACTTAATGTTCCATTCAATTCAGTTTATTTATATAGCGCCAATTCACAAAAAAATGTCATTTCAAGGCACTTTACAGAGAAAATTCAGGTAGATCACCCAGTCAGGATGGTTCAAAGTTTTCTATGGAAAACCAGCTGATTGTTTCCAGTCATTAACTTTGCAGGATTAACTTCTCCTGGATGAGCATGTGGCAACCATAGTTTGGCTTGGGTGGTTACGCTTTGTCCAGATTTTTAAAAACATTTACTGTTAAAGCTGGAAATGAAGTCAGATACTCACTTGGGTGCAAAAACCTTCCACACCATTAGGTGTCTCCTGAGAATGGCAGCAGCACAGACTGAGGAAAACGTCTGAGGGAAGGTGAGACACGGAGGTTTCATAATTTAAAACAGAAAAGGCACATAAACAAACGAGGCAGTAGAAAACGACCTGACCTGTGCTCCCAGGATAAAGAGGTAGCGTGTTGCGAGCTGCAGCAGAGCGGCGCTGAACTGATGGGGGTTCTCCCTCAGTCTCATTTCCATCACGGCGTCCTCGCCTTCTTCCCCGTAACCTCGGCCCCCTCTGCTCCCTCTGACCTCACGCACCAGAGGCCAGAACAGCAGCAAAGGACAACCCACTGGGAAACAATCAGAAATCTTAATTGACTTCCAAAGCGATAACAGAAGTTTCACCTCAGACATGTCATTTTTTCACACTTATCTTTAAAAAAAGCAAACCGTAGTTAAATTTACTGTCATGTTTGATAAAATCAAATGAAAAAAACAATGTGCCAAAATAAACTGGGCCCCATTTTATAAAGCAGGGTTACACAGAGTTAAACTTAAAGGGTAAATTACATTTAAAAATAAAATACATTTTCCATCTCAAAAAACTGGGAAGAAATAAACCTGAGTACAATTATGACAATAAATTATAACTCTGAGTTTCCTGCTTATAGGCTGAATTTAATAAAAGGAAGTGTTTGAAATTGTCCCTTTCTGAAGGAGTCTGTTGAGGTTGGATACTTTAAAAATATCTTATTTAAGACATAAGTGACAATAACTATGCAGAAAACACACATCATGTCAGCAGGTGACCATGAACCCATTCTGGGTAACAAATATAAAACGGTCTTTAGCTAAATCTGATCAAATAAGGAGTGTTTTAAAGTTAGCAAACAGCTTCAGCTGCTAAAGCTAGAAACCAGCAATCAGGCTCTAAATGTGGGTGTAGTGATGGACTCAGACCTGAACCTTCAGAGGCTAATAAAGACAGGAACATAGTCAGCCTTCTATCATCTCCAGGATTAAAGGACTTATATATTGATAATCTAATCCCTGCTTCTTTCATCTTTAATATAAATCCCTGCAGCTGTGTTTTCACAGGTCTGCCTAAAAAAGAAAAAGGATCATACAGCTGCAGCTGATCCAGAATGCTGCTGCCTGCGTCCTCACTGGAGATAAGAAAGTGGAGAACATCAGCCTGGTCCTAAAATCCTTCCTCTGGCTCTCTGTATCGTATCTCGGAAAAAATCATTTAAAATACGTCTGTTAGTCTATAAAATCTACGGAAGAGGATTAGGGCCACTGAAAAAAAAAATTCTGACTTTTTTCTCAGAATTCTGACTTTTTTTTCCTCAGAATTNTCCACCAATGTGTCACTGGCCACCTCAAACAACTCACATCTTTGTCAGTGAAGCTGAGTGCTCCACATCTCTACCTTTATGGTACCCAACTACATTAAGATCCAAAATTCTGAGATTAAAGTCAGAATTCTGAGAAAAAAGTCAGAATTCTGACTTTTTTTCCCCCACGTTAAACTGAAATAAAATTTAAAAATCAGTTGCCTTTTTTTTCCAGTGGTCCTAATCCTCTTCCGTAAAAATCACTTATGTCATTCCAAAAAGTAAAAAAAACATGGGCTGGGCTTTGTTTCCAAGTTTGAAGACATTTCGCTTCCAAACCAGGAAGCTAATTCAAAATTTTATACAGTGGACTAATAACAAAGCCTTGTTTGGGCTTAGAAAACATGCAAATTGAACTGGACGAACTGGTCTGGCCCTTTGTAATGGGAGTCATTTGGTTCCTTTTGTTAGCCTGCAATGCCCCATACCTGTCTATATCTCTGAAAGGGGATTGATCAGTCCACTTTATAAAGCCTCAAACTCAACGCTATTGCTGACATTTTGAATTGAAAAAGGTTCCTGGATGGGAAACGAAACATCTTCAAACTTGGAAACAAAGTCCAGTGGATTGTTTTTAACTTGTTTGGAATGGCTATGACCTGGATGACTGAGAATCTTCACCAGCACTCTGAATGGCTTAAAGCTGAAGTCTGTACGTTTTTAAAAATCCCTTTTTTGTCATATTGGCTAAAACTGTCCCTATGCCCAGACAGCAGTACATGTGATATGTAACCAGTGAAAAAAACTGCTTCAATTGGTCCCACCTACTGCCTGTATTGCAATCTGGAAAGAATATTTCGGGACGAGACAAAACAACCAATCACAGCCAGAGGAGCGTCTGATGGAGTGTCAATCACAGCTCACACACGCTGAATCCCGCCCCTCCCCCTCACCGCTGAACCTGCCGCAGCGCCCGGCTGCCGCAGTCAGGAGGACGCGCGTGGAAGTCATGGCGGAGCGACAGCCACCAGCGAAAGAGAAACTGCCCTTACTGCC